ATTTTCGAAACTTTTTGGGGTTAATTTTTGGGAGAGAGTGAAAAATGGCTAGATCACAATTTCTTGGGTCTTTTTGGGGTTAAAGTATATGGAGAAAACTTCAAGGGGTTGAGCCCCAAAGCTTTATTTTTTTTACATTTTCCCCACAAAAATAACCTCATATTTTTTAAAAGAAAAGTAACTTTAGCAATCTCAATCATAATGATAATCATCATCATTTATAAGCAACTATTCTTCAATTTATGACCTATCATCCTCTTCTCCACCTTTGTCCTTACGTAGTTAATGTCCTCTGAGCCCACTAAGAAAAATGCCATCAATTTCTCTCTCTAAAGTCCCTACTTTTAGCGTTAAAAATGCACAGGACATAGATAGAGACAACTCTCCCAATCTTTGGGGACAATTTGATTTCGACAATGGCCACGTGGACCGTGCGATTAATTAATTTATTTCTCAAAGAGAATAATTTGAAAAGATAAAAAACTAAGGCTTGTTATATTCTTATTCATTAATATGAAACAAAAAAAAAAGGAAAGAAAAGAAAATTAGTATATTTTGCAGTAGGATTTTTTTTGACTTCTATCTTGCATCTAGAAGGCAGACCGGACTTTTTCCAACAGAAGCGCCATTTTGGATAAGACCATGAATTCTCTTATTTATTTATAGGTTACTTTTTTAATCAATGCTTAGGTAGCTAACTTTAATCATATGGTGAAGATTATGAAGGTTCGTGTCTACATCATGCTGATCATCGTAAAAAATAATTTAATTGAGCAAAGATATTGTTTGTTTTAAAAATGGATATTTCTTCTAGCTCACTAGACCATTTTGGACCAGAATTAGATACATAAACTCCTACGTACCAAAATCTAAACAATATTTGAGTTTATTTTGAGAACATGTGTAATTTATTTTGAGAACACGTGGGACATGAACGGAAAATCTTAATTTTTAGAATAACATAAAACTTTAAATAGTAAATTGTGACTTTACATATACGTCATGATATTTGAATGTCGAATCTGAATAAAAACTTCTATTTGCATTATAACCTCAATCCTCACGATAACTTTAAGACTTTGGTGTTGTGCTAAGAGTCCTATGATATGGATATTGAAACAACCCTGACTCAATTTTTATCGGCCAATGATTTATAGGGAAGTGTGAAAAATTTGTTACCCTTGCACAAAAAAGGGTTTCTATTTTGCACGATCTAAGGTTTTCAGCTCATAAGAAGATGGTGCTCAACACCTCAACCTTGGATTACTCACTTAGCGGCATGGTCCTTGGAGAGCAAACATGGATCAAGTATACTAGTATCTTCTTAAAAAAATGGGGAGAAAATTGTAAATCTTGCAAAAGAACTGCAATAAAGAAATATCCACAAACTCAAATTTGCATAAAATCTGAAAAAAAAAATGTAAACAAATAGGAAAGTTGGTATGCTAATAACCTAAAATAAGGAGATATAATATTCTCAAGGATTTCGACGTCTTTCCCCTCCTCTATTTTGCACAGTCAGGGCATTCTTTACAAATATAACAAAATTCTGATGCTATCTGATTAACGCAGTGCGTACGGTTCTTTACCCAGAGCCGGCACTGCGGTTTTCCTTTTTCCCGTCATTTTTTTCATAGCAGCATAAAAAAGCAAAGTACACCCAAAAGGAATGAATAAATAAATCAAAAGAAACAGAAGAGAGATTTGCGTACAATTTCTACAGTAAAGACTGCAATCGAAAACGACTGCTCATTCTCTCTCTTCTCTTTACCGTTACAAAGAAAGAAAGAAAAAACTCTGAAGGAAAAAATAAAACCCAAAAAAAATATTCGCATCATCTCTCAATCTCAATCTCTTTCAAAAGAGTTTGGTGGCGGGTGGCGGATCTTGGGTCGTCTCGATTAGGTGAGCGCTTTGTTGTTCTCTTTGTACCCTCAAATTCTCTTTTTACCCCTTTCCTTCTCTTCAGTGGGTCGCTATCTGTTTGTTTATTTGCTTGTTTTGGCTTTATTTTCAATCTTTTGTTGGATTTTTCCTGTTTGCTAATGATGGTTTTTGAACACGTCTCTGGGGTTTTGGATTCTTGTAGATATTTATACATGGGTGCCCTTTTGAGGGTTTTTTCATTAGTCGCGTCTTGTTGATTCTAGTTGTTCCATTTGTTGGGTTTTGTTCTATGAGGTTGTTAGCCATCTGGGTTTTCTTTTATTAATTCAATTCATTTTTTAATCTTTGAATGAATTGGGTCTCTTGGGTGTTATTTGTGTTATTGAAATCACTTCCTTGTCTTAATTTTGCGGAAAAAGTTGGTTTCTTTCAGTTGTGTAGCATCTCTCTATTTAAGTTGTATTTTTGGGTATTTAGGTGATTAGATTGGGGAAAATGAGAGGAAAGGGAGGTGCAAATGGTAACTGCTTCGTTTTGAGCACCGGGGCAAGGATTCCTGCTATTGGGCTCGGTACATGGCAATCTGGAGGAGATATTTGCGTCGAAGCTGTGTCTACTGCGTTAAAGGTTGGATATCGCCATATAGATTGTGCTCATTTGTATGAAAATGAAGCAGAGGTGGGAAAAGCATTGGCTGAGGCTTTTAGCGGTGGTCTTAAGAGAGAAGATGTTTTCTTGACATCGAAACTCTATTTCGCTACAAATTCTCAAAAGAGGATTGAGAACTCCGTTAGAGTTTCTTTGAAGAACCTCGGTGTGTCGTATTTAGACTTGTATCTTGTGCATTGGAGCGAGAGTTCAGCGTTTGGAGATGCTACTGATCCTCCGTGGAATTCGGGGAGTGATTATAGACAGTTTTTGCAACGTTTGAAACCGACTTGGAAAGCGATGGAGGATCTTGTGGAGATGGGTTTGGTTCGTGCTATTGGCGTAAGCAATTTCAGTGTTCAGCAAATTGAGGAGCTGCTTCAGTTTG